TGGCAATCGCTAAATTTCGTTAAAAACGACTAAAATATCTCCTAATTTGATTGTTTTTGGTTAGGTTTTTACTGTCGCTAAAAGTGAAAATATTATTTTTTAAACAAATTGAGCAATTATTTTGTACGTATTTAGTATTATATTCATATATATTTATTAATTAATATATTGTGATAGAAATAAACTTGCACTTAAAGTTAAAATGTAAAAAAAATAATTATTAATATTACAAAAATTTTGTGGCAGTAATATAGTGAGAGTGTGTTTGGTATTCAGCAAATATAAACAAATGTATTTTATTTTTCATATTTTGTAATTACACCAAAAATAAATGAATTGCACATGAAACAGTGAAAAAAAAAAAATAATTATTTATCTATTTATACATATATTATTTAATATATTTTATTTATTATTTTATTTTCAGATATTTATGATGGAATTCGTGGACTTAAAGTCAAAACGAATAAGCAAGGAGCAGAAACAAACGCTGGTCCAGCATATGGAAGAGCATAAAGATTTCACTCATGACAGATTTGTGTCGGATCATGGTGCGCGAAGTCTTCACGAACAGTAAGGCTCTCTAGCTATTATATTAAATGCCGTTGGTGGAGCAGTTAAAGATGTCAATGGTTGGAAGAACGCATGGGTGAAAATGAAGTAAGTAGTTAAATATGAAAATAAGATATGTTAACAATTAATACTATTTATATGTAAAAGAATTATACATACAAACATGTAAAATGACATCGTCGTATTTAATTTTAAAATTGAAGTGTGCAAATTTCTTAAAAAAACTATATTGAAAAATTGTAAATAAAAAAACTCCATTGTCTAATTTTAGATCCAAAAGCAAGAGAAAACTCCAAGAGTATAAACATGCAATGGGGCTGACCGGAAATGCGTCCGTTGGCATAAGGGATTTAACCGATCTGGATGAACGGGTTATTTCAGTAATGCATCCAGTAGCGGTGCAAGGCATAGAAGATGTGTGCGAGCCAGCAATGCATGTTGAAAGTGATATTTCATGTTTTGATGACTTAGAGGTACGTATTAGAGGCGAATGACTTATTATCGCTTTTATTTTTTTTATAAAATTTTTAATTATTAATTTAATAAATGTTTAATTTTAGTACCTTGAGGATGGAAAGGAACTACCAATCGGTTCAGGTCCATCTGCTGGTGTCATCGACGAGGGTTGTGTGCCTTTAAGAGCTAATCGTCCAGCTAAGTGACGAAATCGAAATTCCTCGTTAGGACAGACCAACCAAAAGTTCATCAAATTGGAGGAGAAAAAGCTGAAGCTTGAGGAACGTCAATTTGAGCTGGAGGAAAGAAAGCTCAAGCAAGAGAAGGAGATTGCGGACGAACGCGTGCAGGCTACTAAAGAGCATACAGATGATATAAAACTATTAGCGAATGCGCTTAACAGTTTTAATAAATAGAATAAGGCTAATGTAAGTTTTTTATGGTGGATAGGCCTACTGGGGAACCAGCCATATAAAATAATTTGGTTAACGCATTATGTGCAATACCTCAGGGATGATGTGGAAATTTGCACTAATAAAATAATTGTTTATTTTTAGGATTTCGCTTCCATATTGGACACTGAAGATGGTCTACGAAGTAGATCGAAATATTTGTAATACAAATAAGTTTTTATAAAAACTAAAATACAATTAAATATTTAACACAAATTTATAAGTGTAATATTTATGTGTTAAATTAATGATCTAAGCCCAGTATTAATAAAAAAGTATTCGATATTGGTCATAATAACAATTTATTTTTAATAAAATAATATTAAAATAATAACAATATAAATAAATACATATTTTAATAATATTAAAACTTATTTAAATAAAACCCAATTAATATTCCCCTCTTGCTATAAACGCTTCAGAGACGTGTTCTTGTGCTTCAAAGTCATTATCTTTATTTATTTCTTCTTCCGTGTTTTCTGCGAAATCAACATCATTAACTTCGTTCATTATATTGTGTTTAATAATGAAGTTATGTAGCACCAAACATGAATTAACAATTTTGCCCGCATTTTCAGGACCATACATTAAAATTTTTTTGGTTGCTAAGGCAACGAATACTTCTTTTTAATAATCCGAAACAACGCTCAATGCAATTTCTTGCCTTTCGACGTTGCACATTATAATTATTATGTTCTGTCGACAAATTATTTCCTCGAACAGGTGTCATTAAAAACGGCAAGAGGGGATAACCGCTATCTCCTAAAAATACAAAAACAGAATTAGTTTCTCAAAAAATTTAATCCACAATCAAGTTTTACATATTAACCGGAAATTTCGATCCCCATTTTTGTACTTTTGAGTAAGAAGTACTCTGGCTCTCCATATGGATGCATCATATATTATATTATATATATTTATTTTAAATAAATAAATCATATATAATTGAATTATAATCGAAATTTAATTTAATGATGTAGAATAGATTATAAAAAATTTCTAAAAAGTATTTAAAATTTATTAAAAATTTAAGCATGTGATTTAACAATAACTTATTTAATGCGTTCTTTAACTTTATACACCATATAATTACACATACCAAAATTACAGTATATCTAATTCTATTCATATTTGGTGTCGTAATAATATCTACATATACGCATGCCGGCATTTCATACAATGTTAATATTTTAAATTTTATTTGAAGCTCGTGATTATTTATTTTCTCGGTTTTTTCGTATACAATCAGATTTTTGTCGGCATGCATATTTCATTCATTTTAAATAATGCAAGCGTCAACATCGTTTATATGTACGCATAATTTATTTTGTAGTATATTTGATGTGCGTGAAGATAGCGTCGACGATATGTCCAAAATGGAGTTGGAACATTTTTCGCCGCATGAAAAATGCAGTATACCTTAATTAAGGACAAATTTATTATTTTATTAAATTTAATGCAGCAAAAGAAATTATTAAGTAGAAAATTGAATTAATTTACTATCTACATTCAACTTTTATGTGTAAATGATGTAATTTGTATGAAAAATGAAAAATAAAAATCAGCCACAAAAGATGGGATCACTAATTTATTAATAACTTTTAAACTAGAGGTACCATATATGCATTTTTTAATAAACAAACTTTCGTTTATATATGAAAACAATTGTATTTATATAATAAAAATTTCAAACAATAAAAAAACAATCTTTTACGCTTTATCATTAAATCAACTACTGCATCTTTTTTCCAGAAACATGAAACTAAAAGTCAAACTGTTATTGAACTCCGCTACTGTTATAAAATAAATAAATAAAATAAAAAATAATCACGTTTTCTCTAATATACGCTTCTACAGCGTAATGTATCATAAGGTGGACTTATTTCATTATACTTATGGTACATTAATATATCCTATAATATAATTATACATTCTTAAAAATTCATATTATTAAATTATTAAAACAAATTTTTCTGCTTTTCTGATAAGAATTTTCTTTTGTTTGCATTGGGTTTATTGAATAAGATTATATCATTTTTCTGAAGAGTTTTATATATAGCTTTTTTATTAATTCCAAGATATATTTAAAATTTTTCTACTTTGATTTACTTTGTTTACAGTTTCTACGCAGGAATGCAATCAGCTGATTGCAATATTTTTTACAAACGTATCGATAGTGCAGGCTAAAATTAGTACATTTTTAAGTTAATTATACCTAATTTGTTGATCAAGTAAGATATATAATATTATATATCAATCGTCTTAAAAAAATTTCTAGCTTTTTATTTATATAATATCTTAGAAGTAGCAAGTTTAATAAAAATTCGACGCTAACTATTTCGACATTTAATATCCCACACTTATCAATGCAATTTCAACCGTTGTGCATAATAAGTAAGCGCACATTTAAATTAATTATAATTAATATGTGAATATTCTATTTTTTTTAAATAATTGTAATAATTAGTGTATTATATTCAAAGTTTATTCTGTACAAACATTTCTCAGACTTCTGGTATATGGTTTCTGTAAAATAAATGTTTTTTTTCAAAGAAAATTAGTTTCTGAACTTTAGCACTCGATTACTCTTAAGTTAATTGACCAATGTATAAATATTATTATATGAAATGAAAGCTTGAAGTATCCTCTTTCGATTAAGCTAATTTGCAGAAAAATGGTACCTCTGCTTTTAAAGATATAATTAATTTCGTAAAGTGACCTATTTTTACAAAATTTTATTTTCCTTATTTTGAAGAAAATTTTTTCTATATTATGGAAAAAGCGAATATATTTAGAAAAACAAACATATTTTTTATTGTTATATGCTTGTTAGTTCATAATTTTTGGTTAAGTAACAAAGTTTTAATTAAATAATGTTTGAAAATGACATCTCTATCTTCATCGCAGCACTGCTCCTAAGTTAATCGAACAACCTATACAAATTATATGAAAGGTAATTTTATCCCCTTTCGAATGAGCTATAAAAGAAAAAAATGGTACCTCTAGTTTAAAAGTTATTAATAAATTAGTGACCCCATCTTTTGGGGCTGATTTTATTTTTCATTTTTCATACAAATTACATCATTTACACATAAAAGTTAAATGTAGATAGTAAATTAATTCAATTTTCTACTTAGTAATGCCTTTTGCTGCATTAAATTTAATAATATAATAAATTTTTTCTTAATTAAACTGTACCGCATTTTTCATGCGGCGAAAAATGTTCTAATTCCATTTTGGACTTATCGTCGACGCTATCTTCACGCACATTTTGTTGATGCGTGTTCAAAAAATTGTTGACAAAAATTTTTGATGTGTAATGTGGGCTTAATGTACTACATTGGCGGACATTAAATATCGCAGCATGTTTTATTGTGTATACTTTTTAGAAACTGAAGATAAATTCGACTAAACTGTCACAATTTTCTATTCATATATTATACATTAAAACAGTATATGTACATAAATCGTTTTTCCACCTTTAACCCGTGTGTAATATTTTGCAAAGCATTTTGAATAGATATTAAATACAATTTGCAAGTTTTTTTCATTGACTGCCATTTTGTGCAATGTAGATTATGGCACTCGACTAAGTAACAAATAATCTTTCCTTTTCTACCTAAGGCAAGACGCTAACCGCTCTTTTGTCCAAAGTATCTATAACATGATTCTCTTTCGCTCATATATGGGTTTTAGTTAATTTCGAAAATTTTATTTTACTCCTTGTTAAAAAGCAATGCGTCTCGTCCCGTCGTGAATACATAATTTCAAAATTGCGTGATAAAAACTGTTTTCAAGATTCTAATATGGTAAAAATACAATGAAAAAGTGATTTAAGTATTAAAAGATTAAAAAAAATACAGAGAAAATATCTTTTTCAACAAGAAAGCCGCTCGAGCATAACGATTTCGTCGAACAAAGCGTTATGTGCAAAAGAAATTAGAAATTTCGTTTTGTTACAAGTGTGAGTGAATGTGTGTACTATCATAATTGAACGGACTACAAATTATTTTTGTAATGTGTCCTTTACGCATTTTTAACTGCATGAACGTAACGCATATATAACTAAATTAACTAAAAATAAGCTTTTGTGACTTGAATGAATTTAATGTACAATATTAAAGTCAAATCTGATTTTGTTACCATGAATTTCTACGATTTAAATTCTTTTGCTTGATATATATAACAAATCCAATCTTTGCTTTGATATCTTTCTGTTATCAGTGCAACAATAAAGCAACATTTGGATATATTTGCAAATATATTACGTACATAATTGTTACTGCACAAAATTACTACAAGTTAGTATTATAATCTTGAAAATTTCTTGTCAAAATTTTCTTCAGATAACTTTTTTTGCTGTAAGTATTACTAAATTAGTTAAATATAAAAATTATGTATAATTTTTTTGCTTCGCACGGACAGGTTATGAATACATAATTCAAAAAATATGGCATCATTGGTAATTTCGTATTTAGCGTGACATTTGCCAAAATATTTTCTTTTTCTAACACATGCACTATTGGACAAAATTGGTATGTGTCCGCCATATTTCTGAATCGTAGATGATAGCATTGTATGTATTCGAAAAAGGGATGACTATATTCAGACGTTTTCTATCTTTGCCTTTACTGATGTTTGAATTGCTCATCTTTTATCACGTCCGTCGCTAGTTTTGTCTTGTGGAAGTTAAAATTTCTTTAAAAGAAGTATTGGGTAATTCATAAAAATTACCGTTTTGTTTATAAATATTACAACCTTGAATTTGTTTTTAAAATTTGCACAATTGCAATAATTACAAATAATATTAAATGTAAAATAATTTATCTTCTCCCTGTGACTTTGTCGTTAGTTGCCTTGATTTCTACGAGTATGGCGTTAGTGCTCCGCTGTATAAAAGCCGAACGCAACCGAAGTTAACTCTACTGTACTGCTGTCAATGATTTCTATTGGTGCAAAAGTGATATCCGTGTGCGTGTGTTTGATATAAGTAAAAATTGAGTAGTTTATTTCCATACTATTTCTATGCATACAAGGCGTCATTTAATGTGCAGTAAAGAAAAACAGATATATGGGGCGAAGCAAGAATAAAGCTTATAATACTGTAAATCACTTTTATTTTGTGTATTGAAATTAATTAAAAACTCAACAGCAAACTAAGGTAAAGAATTTTATGTTTTACTGCAATAAAGAATTTAAAGTATAGAAATATATCTTCGTTTGCTAAGAACCGTTTTCAGTTGCTGGTGGGTAACAAAAGGCTACGGAATTGTCTGCCAATATAAACCATAACACTGATATACACAATAATTCAATATTGGTATTTTGCCCGTTATGACAAAAATTTAGTTGCTATATGTAATACGAATATACTAAAAGAAAGCATAAACTCCAATTTTTACATAACATATTGCAATTATAATTCCATTGTACTGCTTACGTACGTACTGTTTTTTTTTATTAATCAAGTGAACGCATTTCTTTCAGTTTATACATGTATAAAGTAGTGCTCAATATACAGTTGAGTTAAAGCAAAACATTTGCATCGTATCTTATAAGTACTAATGCTAATCGTAGCAAATATGTGAACTAAATAAAAAAATTTGTCGCAAATACTGCATCCTGCAAGTTATTTCGTTCATTACTTTCATCAAGTAATGAATAACGATTCTTTGCTACTATTTGAAATTTGCAAATCATTTCTGTATCTGGCAACATTTAACGCCATTTTGACCTAGAAATTTTGACGAATATGCATGTATAATATACAATCATTTTAATATAAATTACTGCAGTTCATACTAGCAATATTATGATTGTACATTGTAACAGGTAGAATTTTTGTAAACAAATCTCTAACAAATTCGGATAATAGATTTACCGTACTGTAATTGTTAAGAATATTAATTCACTCTAATCGTAAATTAGAAATGTTTTGATTTGTGTTTTAATTTAACATATTAATATTGCATGTACTTTTAATTATTTTATTTTATGCCCATTATAATTAAGTTGGTAGTCTAAAAAATGGAATTATTTATATAATTTAATATAAACAATATTTTTTATATACTTATTTTTCAGTGTTAGTCACTTGACATGTTTCTGGAGGACACTGATGTATTCCGAAAACTAATAAAATATTGCAAATAATATAAGTCGCACTTTGAAATTAATATATAATTATAAAAAAGGAAATTGTTAATCAAATAATAAGAAAAATTACTTTGTATGTACTCATATATAGTATCAAAAGTGTTTTAGTTTTAATGTACGTTTAAATCTTACTTGTTTATTTTTTTGCTGCCAGTTGGTCTGCGTTTACATTTAATACTTCAAAACATGGTATGAAACAGAACAAATACATATGTCCATACATAATTACATTAAACTAATACATTTATTTGTAATACATTAATTATTACAGTTTAAATTGACATAAAATGCAGACATCAATGAAATTTATTAACATTGCACTAAATCAAGTAGGAGCAATGTATACACCTAGCTGTAAATTGATACTCTATCATAACTGCAGACTACAAAAACGCTTTTAAACAATAAAATAAAGGACGGAAAACTGCGTGACAGTCGATTAAACTTTTTGGGAGGAAGAATAACTAATCACAGAAATATTTATTCAAAATATAACTGATATATCAGTTTAAATCATATACATTTGTTAATTTCAATTAAATATACGAATAATTGTAACTACAAAAATGTCGCAAGAACCACCGCCACGTAGTGAACCTTATGTTGAGCCTGTTAACGGCATAGTTCAACCACCAACTGTACCAGCACCAGACAGACCAGGTCGTAATACCAATCAATTACAGTATATAATAAAAACAGTAATGAAAGCTGTTTGGAAACATCATTTTTCGTGGCCTTTTCAACAGCCTGTTGATGCAAAAAAACTAAATTTGCCTGATTATCATAAGATTATTAAACAACCAATGGACCTGGGTACAGTTAAAAAACGCTTAGAAAATAATTATTATTGGACTGCTAAGGAAGCAATTCAAGATTTTAATACAATGTTTACAAATTGTTATGTTTACAATAAACCAGGTGAGGATGTTGTTGTAATGGCTCAAACATTAGAAAAAGTATTTTTACAAAAAATTGAGGCAATGCCAAAAGAAGAAATAGAACTAGAACCAGTAATTCCGAAAGGAGGTAAAAAAAAGGTGCGAGTACCTACAAAAGCTGCAACTGTGGGTAATCCACACGTTGGCATTCATGGTACAACTGTGGCAGTATCAACGCCTCGGCAAGTTAATGCCCGACCATTATCAGCACTTGGTGGTACAGTTTCATCATCTGGCAATACACAAAGTACCACTCCTGCCATTCCTCCTATTGGTACAGTACCGCCACAAACAGTTCCTGGAAGTACTAATACAACCACAACTGCTGTATCAGGTTCTACTATAACAGCACCTAGTGGCAGTTTGATGCCCGCCAATTCAGGCATTTTACCTGGAGCTCTTGGGTCTACTCCTTTAACTGCTGGAACACCTATTAACTCTTCGTTATTGGATGGAAGTGTTACTGGGCATTCATCTTCTGGGGTATCTGCGTACCATGTCAATAGTACCGCAAGTGTAGAGACTGTCATACCTCCCCAGCAACCAGCAAAAATGAAGAAAGGTGTGAAAAGAAAGGCAGATACAACAACTCCAACAGCAAACGCATTTGAGTCTCCATACGCTCAAATAGATTCGAAAACTGCAAAGATAGCCACGAGGCGTGAGTCCAGTCGACAGGTAATATATAAAAAGTTAGGCGTTATCACGTTTTGTGTAGCGTGGTATTATGATAAAATATGTGTTATTAGAATTAATATAATAATATTGTGTATTGTAAATACGAACAAAAGCAAAAGCCTTTTATATGGGGTTACTCGATTGAAGTGTTACCTATTCAAGTAACCATATCTTTTTAATGTGAAATTATTTTTTTTATTGATTCAAATTACAAATATTTGTGGAAATAATCAAGATTCAGAACCCGTTCTAGCTTGATATGGCTAATTTTTGGCTTTACCATGGCCTTCAAACGGTCAAAGAATGAGTTGCATGCCGCAGGAATATGATCTTCTGGCTCATTTCTGAAAAATGATTTTCTTCAACGCACTCATACTGGTATATTTTCTTAATCCTCACGTTGCTCTCTAAAATGGCACAGATGGAATAGTCCATCGAATTTGAATCTGGCGAATTCAAACGTTTTCGCCATTGCGTGTATAAAATGAGCTGTGGAATATGATTTTTTAACCATTCTTGGTTCACATGAGATTTATGAGACCAAGACCAGTGCCAAAACAATTTTCCGATAAGTCGCATTGACTTTCATACCAGGTTTGAAAAAAACGATTGGAGTGCGTTCATTGGCGTTTATAGCTTCACGTACCATTACTTGAGATTGAAAATTACTTCGGGTGGTCATTCATAGCCTCAAATTTTTATCAGTGCGTTCAGTGAATAAAGCACAATCATTTTGAAACTTTATGAACTGCTTAATGGAGAAAGTTTTCTTCTCATAATGTTGAGAAATTTGCCACGTCCTTTGATTTTTCGAGTTTAACATTTTGTTGCTTTGGTATAAGATCTTGTGGAACTTGTAAGGCTTACCCTTGAGAACATTTTGAAATATGCGTCGGTTGCTTTGTTGGGATATTTTCAGTTCTTTGGCCATTTGATAACCGCTACAACATGGATTTTATTCAAGTCGAATTTTCACTTTACGTATCATTTCAGGTGATGTTGTGTTGTGGTTTGTTTTTTGTCCACGACAATAGCGTTTGGAAACACTGCCTGTACCATTATAATGATTTATTGCGGAACCAACAAATATTGTGTTCACTTTAAGGTGTTTAAGCTCCTGAACAACAGCTGGTTGTGATTTTCCACAAATATAGTGTAATGACACTATTACGTTTAAATTCCATTTCGAATAACTTTTGTTATATAAAACTTAGACGCAAATGCTTGCGGTTAATTGTAAACAATATAAACAGTTGTCATTCGTATGAATTTCACATAGTTGGCAATACGAGTTTGATAGATATACCTGTGTGTAGTTGGTAACACTTAAATCGCCTAACTCTGTTTATTCAAGTTACTTGAATTACCCGCTCACACTACGGCTCGTTTTATTAAAATTTAAAGCTTTATTAATTTCTATCTTCTAGGATTTAACATTCCAAGGATCTGCTTATCCAATGTCACCACTTGGAGTTCCCGGTGTTCCTGGTGCTGGTGGCACAGCTGCTGTTCCTGGAGCTCCTAAATCAAAAGAAAAACTTTCAGATGCACTTAAGTCATGCAATGAAATTCTTAAGGAACTATTTTCTAAAAAACATTCTGGATATGCATGGCCATTTTATAAACCTGTAGATGCAGAACTGTTAGCTTTACACGATTACCATGATATTATAAAAAAGCCAATGGATTTAGGAACTGTCAAACACAAAATGGACAATCGTGAATATAAAAGTGCTCCAGAATTTGCTGCTGATGTGCGATTAATTTTTACTAATTGTTATAAATATAATCCACCAGATCATGATGTAGTTGCCATGGGTCGCAAGCTGCAGGATGTTTTTGAAATGCGTTATGCAAATATTCCCGATGAACCTGTTGCAAATGCACATGCTGCAGCAGCGGCTGCAGCACACAATGCTCTTACAAGTATAAAACATGAAGCGTCTGATTCTTCTTCCGATGAGTCTTCAGATACGGAAAATGAATCAAATTCAGACGAGGAACGAAATGCCAAGTTGAAAATGCTTGAAACTAAACTGTTGGATTTACAAGAAGAAATGCGTAAATTGATGGAAGAAGCATCCAACAAGAAGAAGGCAAAAAAAAAATTAAAGGAAAAGAAAAAGGTCGGTGCAAGCGGTGTTCTTAGTGGTGGTGGAATTACCCAAGGAGGGAATAATTTAGGCACAGGCGGCGCCGGCGTCGCCACGTTGGGAAATTTGCATAGTCATGATCTAACAACAGCAATAGCAATAGGTCAGTTAAATGTTGCAAACAAAGGGACTCCAATGGCAAGTGTAACAGGAACAGTTGTGAGTGCAGTAGTGAATAAAAGTGCTAAAGTTAAGGGGCCACGTGGCCCAAAAGCTAGTGGAGCATCAGTTGCGGCATCAGGAGCAGGAAGTGCAACTATAGGTAATAAACGAGCGAAAGGGAATGCGAGCACTAGTGTAATTGCTGCTACTGCTAGTGGAGTAGCGCGTGGTCCGAATAAGAAGAAACCTAGCCAAGTAATGAATTTTGACTCTGAAGAGGAAGACACAGCTAAACCAATGTCATATGATGAAAAACGTCAACTGTCCTTAGATATAAATAAATTGCCAGGTGACATTTTTTTTCCGTCTTGTTATTTGCAGCAAAAAAATGTTACATATATTAATGAACTTTAGGTGATAAACTCGGAAGAGTGGTCCATATTATCCAAAATCGTGAACCATCGCTGCGGGACTCTAATCCAGATGAAATTGAAATAGATTTCGAAACATTGAAACCGTCGACGTTACGAGAGTTGGAAAGTTATGTAGCATCATGCCTACGCAAAAAAACTCGTAAGCCTTACTGTAAGTTTATCCCAATGGCACGCACTACTACTACTACAACAGAAATAAAGTTCAAATTACGTTTCATTCATAATATGGAAGATAATATTTATTCCGTCTCAAACTTGAACATAATTAATTTTTTTTTCGCAACTCTTAAAATATTTATACAATATTATTTTACAATTGTAAGCTTTATATACAGAATGCTGTAGAAATTTTATTATTCAGTTTTAGCAAACTTTTACGTTTAATAATGTTAATTATTTGCGCATATATTTACATTGCACGTTTATATAATTGTACATACTAAAACACGCACAATATTGGAAAATATAGCCTTAAAAAACTAATTTGACATAAAAATAATTTATTAAATATATTCAAACAGTTCTGGAAAATTTTATGAGGTCGATCCTTGAAATTGTCAAAATTGCTAAAATTTATTTCAAATTTAAAAAAAATTTTATCAATAAAAAACCAGTGCGTGTATTTTTACGTCTTGTAAATGATTTCTTAATTCTTCTTCTACCTTAAAATGTAAGGAAACAGGCGCAAATATTAAAAGCTCAATTCAACTTATTTTATTTAAAATAAGAAAGAATTATATAAAAAAATGTTGATATTATAAGTTTACTGCGAAAAATTAAACATCCAATTACTGAAAATAAATTTAAATGGAGTAAATAAGGAAAAATAATAATTTTCAAAATTAGAATAGTAGTGACAGTGTTAATTGGATGAACTAATTTCGATCATATTTTTATAAAAATTTTAAAATCCTATTCATGGTTTCTTTAAGAAAACTTTACTCTTAGCTTCTTAATGTATTAAATAGTAGAGTTATTAAAATTGGTTACTGGTGTTGGAAATAAAACTTTTTTCTTTTTAGCCGTATATCCTTTTTATACAGTAGACTTTGTTACAACGGATGTCAGATTTAACGAACGACATAAGTCTGTTATTGTTTATTCCATATAAATTCGTTTATATAAATTTATCAATAACTGCACTAAAAAGCCGTATCGTGTTTAGGTGTTGTTAAAATGACACCTAAAATATTTCACAATTAAAGTGAATCGCTTAATTATTTGAAAAAAATGTATGTTACACCAAAACAATGATCTAACAAAAGGAAGTATAAAAAATCAATAAACACCATCAAGAGACAAAAAAATAAAATTTTTCAAAAAAAAAAATATGAAATGAATAATAACAATTTGGTAAAATGAATTTTTCGATTTAATTATTGTGCTGTAAAAAATATCATTCGTTAAATTAGATGTCTACTATATATGGTATATCATATTTATTTATTTTTAGTCATTTTGAAAATATGTAAATATAATGCAATTATTCAGTATTTCAGTGTAAAAGTTAATACTGTAATATTCAATTTTTAGCTAATGTATAAATCAAAATAAGTCACTTTTTTAATTTGTTGTATTAAAGAAATAATTGGTTATTTTAATCACGCATATGTTTTTGCTAAAGCAATATTTAGTAAACTAATAAAATTTTTTAGTTCTTGCTTTTTAAATAAAATTTTTTCTCACAATCAATCTGCATATAAATTCAATATACCAGAAACATAATTTAAATTAATATACAGTTAAATATGCAGTTATATATTTTTAATAACATTACATGTTAATGCAAGCTAGAAGGCCACAATTTAATTTTTAGTATGCACGAATATTATTTATATAATACAAATAGAATCAAAGAATTTTATATAACGTTCAAAATTTTAGTATTAATGAATATGTTTTTTGATTAATTACTTTGAGTTGCTTTACTTAACTTGTTTTAATTTAGATAAAAAACCATCAGGTAAATCAAAAGATGAACAAATGGCTGAGAAAAAACAAGAATTGGAAAAACGTTTACAAGATGTTACTGGACAGTTGGGAAGTAACAAAAAAGCAACTAAGAAAGGTAATAGTTAAATATTTATTTCTAAAATTGGCTTCACTTAAATTAAAACTGATATTGACCATAAAATCTTGAATTCATTTACTGTTTCCATAAAAGCAGAATTAGATTATTTTATAATTTATTAAATTTAAAAGTGAATATGTGATTAGTGCTTTAATTTCATAAAACCTTAAATTAGACACCGAATTACTTTAAAATATAAGTAGGTCAGATATAAAATATTTAAATAATTTATTAAAAATATATTATTTGTTATTATTATTAGTAATTATTATTATTATTAATTATTATTATTATTAATTATTATTATTATTATTAATTATTATTATTATTAATTATTATTATTATTAATTATTATTATTATTAATTATTATTATTATTAATTATTATTATTATTAATGTTATTATTTATAATTTTCATTCTTATTAATTTTTATTATTATTAATTTTGATTATAATTTTTAATATTATTAATTTTTATTATTATTAATTTTTATTATTATTATTAATTTTTATTATTATTAATTTTTCTTAATATTAAATTTTATTTATGTATAATTTTTATTATCATTAATTTTTATTAATATTAAATTTTATATATTTATAACTTTTATTATTATTAATTTTTGCTATTAATAATTTTTATTTTTAATCATTTTTATTATTATTAATTTTTCTTAATATTAAATTTTAATTACGTATAGTTTTTATTATTATTAATTTTTATTAATATAAAATTTTATATATGTATTTATATATAATTTTTATTATCATTAATTTTTAGTTATTAATTTTATTATTATTAATTTTTATTATTAATATTTATTATTATTAATTTTTATTATTATGATAATTTTAATAATATTAAATTTTATTAATATCAAAATTTATTTATTATTATATTTTTATTATCATTAATTATATTATTATCATTATAATTTATTATTATTAATTTTTATTATTATTATTATTATTTTATTATTTAATTATTATTATATATTATTATTATTATTATTTCATTATTATTATTATTATTTCATTATTATTATTTTATTATTATTATTTATTATTATTTTTATTATTATTATTATTATTATCATTATTATTTTATTATTCTTTACATTATTATTATTATATTATTTTATTATTATTATCATTATTATTATTATTATTCTATTATTATTTTATTATTATTATTATTATTTTATTATTATTATTATTTCATTATTATTATTATTATTTTATTATTATTATTATTATTATTATTATATTATTATTATAACGTAAAGAATAATATACACTGCGACTCAGACAGTCTATTGTGTTAACTTCAATAGTTTTAACGGATCATTGGCCTTTTAGTCTAGTCAACAGTGGGAATAGCAAGTCTGGTCAACAGACGGATAAGTTCGTGGTGTTCAGTTTAAGATCTTTATAGAAAATATTCTTAATTTTAGAGTTCAACATTCATTTCAAAAAAGTAGGGAATTCTTATTTTTAAAAGGCTTACCTTTTTAAAGGTAAGAAGTCTGTTTGAGTCTACCTTATATAAATCGATAAATACCTTAACATGTCTTTGGTTATTACACTTCGTCCAATAGTTTTGAAACTGTTAATCTTCCCAGGTACTGAGTTTTGCATTATGTACCGTGCATACAGAATAACGAATGGCGAACTAATTGATGATCGGATTCTAGTTCGGCGAACATACGTACCTGTTGTACCTTAACGAAGAGTATTTAGTGGTACCCTCTTTAAAGTAACATAAGAGAGATAGAAAGTTATCGAGCATACCTGTATGAATTTTAAGAGAGTTTATATTAATAATTTTCTATTTTAGATGGGCTTAAAATGCAGAAAATGCTCTGGCACATTAAACTTACAACGTTCCTCTGAAAGGTAAAATTGATTTATTGGTTAAAAAAAATTATTTCTAACATTTCTGATATTTTGTAGTTCACAACGTATTTGGGTTGTGAATTGTGTTCAATGTCAATTTGTGAAAAAATGCCTCAATGACGCAATTAGTGTTGCAATTATTGGTAATTTATAATGTAAGTGTTACACTATATAATATAATATTTTCTATTTACTCTTACAGAAAAGAATTGTGACATATGCCATTCAAACATGGTAAAAGTTACTTATTTTTCAATTAATACTAAGCAATTGGAGTTTGAAATTAAGTGCATTTTATGTTTATACTTAAATTAAATTTTTTTTAATTTGAAGTATAAATTCTAATTTTAAATCGAATTTCTTATTTATTCTTAACTTTTGTTTTGATTATTGAAAGATTATTTTTTTTTATTTCAAAAAATGTATATTTTATTATTTTTACAAGTCGCACCTTAAAGGAGAATGTGTATTAACTAACTAACAGATTTAATTACTACCGACTACTTTTATTGTAGTGGAATAATATCTTAAATTTAATCACTGGCATCAAATTTGAAGTTAGCGGTATGATTAATATTGTTAAAAAGAGTAATAAAAATAATAAAAAATTTTTTTGAAGATTTCTTAAATATGTTTAAATATGGTAACGTCACATAACTTATTCGTTATTCTTATTCTTTTATTTTTAAATATAATATATTAATTATCTCTTTATAATCTTTACTCGAATTTTAAATTCTAATATAATAATTTTGATTCAATTATTTTTATTTCTTATTTTATTATTTTTTTTCTTTTTGTTTAATTTTATTTCTTATTCTTATTTTATTCTTATTTTATTTTTTTTTTCTTATTTTATTTTTTTTTTTTTCTTATTATTTTATTTTA